CTCATTATTACTAATTAATGTTATATTAAATGTAAGTCCATTAATTAAATTATTCTTAATATTATTTTTATTAATTTTAATTGTTCAAGACTCGATATTAATATTGACAATTCTGTTTCGTAAATTCGCGAATAGAAATCCATTTCTTGATGGAAAAAACGACAAAATACAAAATCCTTTTCAAGGACTACGAGACATGACATAACCAAATTCTGTGGGCTGATCAGTATTCGTACCATTTTGGGTTCGCACCGGTGCTCCCGACTGTCGGATGCCTCCAACGGCTAAAGGACTCGCTACCGTCGACATTTTAAAAAACTCGTTGTTACTTCGAAACGTAAGTACAAAACCACGTTACTTTAACGACGACGCCGAGGAATCGGGAGAACAATCCAAGAAAAGCCGCGTGTGAAGACGAACAATAATGGCTGCGTTCGGGGAGACGCTATTAGCGCTATTGTGTCATTCTATCTTCATCGTCCACTAGACGTGAAACAAGGATGCATAACATATAATACGCTATAGCGCGCTTCCCAAATCCAGCCAATGACTGTCAGTCCCAACTTCATTTCTTACTTCCTTTGTTCCTTTCCTTTTATGGTCAAATGCTACATCAACAACTATTGGCCACGCGTTTTATCCTCGAACGTGATTGGCAATCAGTTGAACTGAATTGGACTGAATTGGATCAAAAAGCGGAGCATCTTGCTTTTATTAATTTCGAAAATCATGAGTGTGTAGCAAAAAAGAAAATCAAATAGGATTTAATATTTAATTTTTCAATTAAATTAGAAAAGTCAAATAAACATAGACTATTCCGATAAAAAATCGAGATTGCAATCGAGAGTCAAAAGAAGAGAAACGAATTTTATTCCGATTCATAAAATTCGAAATGAGCTATCGCGCGTATTAAAAGTGTAATTGCACGTATAAAATCTTGGGATCACTTTATATAAAATATATATATATATTATATTAGCAATATATTCAGTATATGAGGATGTTTATCCCTCATATATATTCTAGTGAGAGAGTAACACGGGAGAATTTCAATTTATGTAGAATAGCATGAAATAGAATAGAGATATTCAATAGAAGATTCTAGATCTAATCGTAGACATAATATGACTGTCTATATAGACAACAGACTCGATTTGCCAAGTTACAAATAATTTTCGATCACTTTCGTTATTATCAATATATTTCTATTTACATCTCATTTACTTAACAATTTCTTTACAATTTATCCTGTCTTATTTTTTATTTGATTATAATTTCTCTTGTCTTATCTCTACAGTCAAAATTAATATCAATATAATGATCTTTCTGTTATTCACAAATAAATATAACGTGAGACGAGATTCTTTTTATATACGTAAAACTTTGGAAATTACGTTCATCGAAAAATGATGCTGATTGTTGATGTAATCTTAATAAAATTATGACACAGTCATAATTTACAATAAAATACAAAAGAATTATGATTCAGTACTTATACAAAAGAAGGAGAATAAAAAATACAAAGGAAAGCACTGACATGTGCTTACAAATACACACGCACACAAGTCCATTCTTAGCTTTTTAATCAGAATATACTTAAAAGTGCATTATTGTACATATTATATTGTACATTATATACATACATCAAATTGTACATATGTATTATTATTAAGAAAAATGCGGAGTAAAAGTTAGTTACAATACCAATTATTTCATTCTTTTTTGCTTTATCAGATGATTTTTAAGAGCTATTTGTTTCTCTCTAAAAGATCGCTTTATTTTTGTTCTTAATTTCTGTTTTAACATTGAAAATGCTTTTCCTTTTCTCTTCTCACGATTTGTGGTACTGCATAATGGATTTTGTCGCCGATCCTTGAAACCGAATTTGTCTCGTTCTTCTTGCCCCTTCTGTAAATTTAATGATGTACCTGAGCTATATTATTCTCATACATCAAATTAAGATCATTTATACTGGCCGTAACCTGTTAACTTATGCCATATTATATAACTATAATTTGTAACAATTGATCAATCATAGTCGACTATTCCTCTCTCATTCGACTGTGACTGGTCAATTCTTATAGATTACGGCCAGTATAAATAATCCTTAACACTTTCTACGTACCTTAACAGATTTCTGTCGGGCAGCCTTATCATGTTTGCGTTTCTTATATATGTTTTCTATATCGCTAAGTTTTACCAATTCTCCACCTTTATTCGTCTCTATTTGATCATGCGTTCTCTTAACGCTACGTTTAATGTACGTTACGTCTTGCTTTGCTAATGCGACATCAATTTTTCTGAAATCCTTATCCGTGAGTAATCTTTCGGCAGATATCACAGATGCCTTTGTTTTTCTCTCAGCCGTTAATTCTTCATTTTTTTCAGATTTAAGTTTTGCTTTCTTCTCTAATTTTTGTGCCTTCTTTTCCTGCTTTGTTAAAGCGTTTTTCTTTTGCAAAATTTTATTTGTTTTTTGTTCTCCACTATCCGCTTCACAAGTATCCTGCGCACTATTGTTCTCACTATGTGATAACGTTAAATTTTTATCATTCTTATTTTCACTAATGGAAGATTTCGCCGATTCACTAGTCAACTCGTTCTCGTCGATTTCCTCGTCACTAATTTCCTCCTCACTGATTTCGTCGTCGTTGATTTCCTCGTCACTGATTTCCTCGTCACTGATTTCCTCGTCGCTGATTTCCTCCTCATTGTTCTCACTTACGTCGATCCACTCGTCATCATCCTATATTTGAATAGATTTTTATATAATTTTTACCAAAAATAAATAATTGGAAAAATAATTGAATGTTTTCACTTACTTCTTCGTCGCTATCACTGGTTTCTTCAGTATTTTTAGCAGGTTGATTGAATAAAACTTCTGCTCCTGGTACAAAGTCGCTTGCTCGAATTTCACCATATTTGGAAGACTTTGTCATAACATTAGCTTCTGTAGGACGGCCTCTGTCTTTTTTACGTAATAAATCGGGCATTATACGTCTGAACGTTCCAATTAAAGAATGCGCTGCCATCATAACGGAACGTTCCTTATAATGCTTGTATCGTGTTAAATCCTCAAGCAGATCCTCATTCATGGCCAACGGACATCGTGTACATATTTCGCGTACAGTATTTAAACTGGAAATATACATATATTATAAATAAATAGCGGTATAAGCAACGCAGTATGCATATTCGTAACAAATAAATTATTAAAATAGATTTACATACCCGATAGCCATCACATCTGCAGAATTTCTTTCCGTTATGAAATTGTTTGCCAATGTCTTCAAAACGGGTTCTAACACATCAGGTGGTACTAATTCATGTGAAGCCTGAGCTACAAATTGTAAAAGTTTTGTAACCTCTGAAAAAAAATAAAAAGAAAAATAAAAACGTAGAAACTACATATTTTTTACATGATTCAGAATAAAAATTGATAAAGCTTATATAACAATCAATAAGATTAACAGTAATATAGAATACATACCTTAAAACATTAAATAAAGACAGATATTTAATTAAAAATTTAAATATTTAGCAATTAAGCAATAATAAAATTAAAATTATAATAACTATGTAATACTATTACTCTTACCTCGTTGATGAGGCTGAAGAAATCTTTGTATATACGGATAAAAGTTCAAGAGAAATAAACTGTGCAAGCCAATAAGTCTAGACACAACATCCAGAGTCATAAGTTTTACTTCAAATCTATCATTATTTTTTTCTATCTGCTTGAATAATTTTTCAGCAAAATCCTGTGGATCGTGAATTAGATGCAATGCTGAAAAATTATGTTGCGGCGCTTTAGATTTCTTCTTTTTAGCTTTCTGAAAAATACATTAAAATTAAAAGTTACGGTTTACATTTCTTATAAATATTACATTGAATTTTGTAATATTAAACTTACTACGAATGATTGTTTAGCTTTCTTTAATTGCTTCTGACGTTTTTTCGTTTTTTTATTTACTTTATTAGCCATCATAATTTCCTTCATACTTGGCTCATCATCTGAATCACTGTCATCACTTTCTTTTTCTTCCGAATGAGTTCCCAAAAAAAATTTTAAACTAGCAACCATTACTTTTGTTATTTTCGAAAAGCAACCTGTTGCTATAACATTGACAGTCTTAACGTCGTTCCAAACATTTTTATTATACAATTCTATCATAATATCCACAGACATCTTCGCGGCTCTGACATTAGGATCTTTTAATATAGAAAACATAAAATTTTGTAACACTGTATTAACTTTGGCATTTTTGTGCTTTGCGTTAATATTTTTAATATCTGTGACAATATGCGTTTGGAGGAACTGTCTCAAGATCTTATCTTGACATCTTAAAAGCTCAAAAAATAAACTGAGAAGTGCAGTAGGTTCTAAGAGGGATTTGTTGCGTAGTTGAATCAACGCTTTACAAAATGTCTGTAACGAATATAATTATAACGTAGTAATAACTTGTGTGCATTCATATTCGATAGCACAATTTAATTTCTATGTATATCATGCTTACCATTCGCATTTCATTGTCTAGTATGATGTTATGAGTTTGTAATATATCGATAATCTCTTGAGGATATGTTTTCAAATCATTTGGATAACAATGGGCAACCTGTAATAATATGCATACAAACATGTATAGCACCCATTTTTTATTAAGTGATTTCTTAAAGTTATAAGAATAATAATTGTGCAGTTAATAAATTATATAACGAGTTATTATCTATACACTATTGTTATATACATTACTTATATATTTATGTACACAATCGATAACTATATTTTTAAAATTTAAACATTTAAATATTAACATTGCAAAATAAGAAATGTTTAAATAAATATAATGTACGTGTTTGCAAAATTTTTAATAAAAAGAAAATCAAATTATCATATCAATTTACACACAAAATTAAATTTCTCAATAATTTAAATTTATTTCATTATATTACAAACTATTACATATTTCATATACATATATAAATAAAATCTTATTCTAATATAAATATCTAAATAATAAATATGTAAGTTTTTTTCTTTATTACTTAAGAACTCTTCGTATAATAAAATGTTAGGCAAAAAGCTGTTAGAAATAAACACACACATAAAATTATAACTAAAAATGAACATAAAAATTGTGTATATGAAGAATGTTTAAGCCATATTCACGCTCAAGTAATTCTTTATTTCAAAGCCAACCGTTTTAGCTACAACGATAATAAAGTCGTGACTTGCACAGCACTTGAATTTTGTTTCATCCAACTGCGTAATGTTATCTCCGACGATAGATAATAAACCTAGCTGGCACATGGTAGAGATTTGAGCGAGTAAATTAGCATTGATGTCTACTTTTTCATCGAGAATAGCGCAAAAGATTGCGAGCATTCTCGAGATGGTAAATACTCGACATTTCTTTTCCGCATCTTCTCCCG